CTGGAGACTAAAACATAGTTTGCAGGAACTGGGTTTGGCTAGTTCAGGGGGTCTGCAACCTTAAACACTCAAAGAGCCATTTGGACCCATTTCCCACAGAAAAGAAAACACCGGAAGCCACAAAATTCTTCCCGTCCCTGACTGTTTCTTGAGCGGCCACAAAACTAGCATATGTAGTTTAATTAAACCTTCTGTTTTCTTGAGAAAGAGTTGGCAAAAGAGCTCAGTTCAAATTGAATCTGACGAGGAAGGAGGCTCGGTAGAAGCACCTCACTGAGGACTAGGAGCATAGGCTTTCCAAGCAGAGGGAAGACCTGCGGGAGTGCAAGGCCAGGTATCAGCACCTGGAGGCTCAGCGGGCTGAGATGGTCAGCCAGTTCCAGGCCATGATGCAGTCCCACTGGAAGGAGGCCCTCCGGCTCTTTGCCACCAGCAGCGCTTCCCTCCAGCCTTCGCCCAAAGCCCCACACCAGGAGGCTGAAACAGACCCCAAGTCGGAATTTCTGCCCCCCTCTAACCCGCACAAAAAGACCCCAAAGGGGGAGACTCTCTGCAGCAACACAAATGTTCATTGCACGTTTCCAGCCCAGGGGCCGTAGTTTGAGGACCCCTAATTTAGTGCAATATTAAAAATGCAAATAATTTTTCTGCGGACAACCAAAATTTTCTCGCGGACCATGGACCACCAGTTGGTGACCGCTGGACTAGAAGACCTCCAAGGTCCCTCCCAGCTCTGTTCTGATTGATTGATCGTTTGATTGATTTTCCTAACAATGTGGTGAAGTAGGTTGAGCTGAGAGAGTCATCCGACGGCTGGAAATGGGAGTTGAACATGGATCTCTAGTCCAGCCATGACAGTACAGTGGTCCTTCTCAATCTTCTCGATCTTTTTTTAACTTCCATACAGTTGGCTTCAACTTCCCCCAACTCGAACAGCTGGACAATTCACCCCCCCGAGAATTCCAGAATGCTGTAAATTGATCTCCCCAGATGTAGGACAGCCTTTCGGCTGGGCATTCCTCCTAGCCTTTCAAGCAGAAACAATTGCTTTCCATACTATTTTTAAGCCTGAGTTTTTTTTTTGTTGCTCCCAAGGACAAAAATCAGTTGGGTGTCGATTTTGTCTATCACAATCATGAGCGTATTTGTATCTACAGGCCGTGGTGTGTCTCACAAAGACCGACTTTTAACATCTTCTCCGTTGCATCTTTTCAATGCTCTTCATTGCCCACGTTGGCCATTGTTTAATGGATTTTTTTTTTTTTTTAATGGGATGGCATTCGGTGCCAAGGCAATAGCCACGGACCGCTTGGAGAAGATCGTTCAACCATTTATGGAGCAGCCCTGAAGAGCTGTCAGAGCTGATCTGGGTCAGGTGACACCCTTCATTTGATTACCCAGAAGTCTCATGAATCCTCATCTTTGGTCATCTTCCATGATGGAAGGCATCTTGCCAACAACTTGGTGGGGCAACTGAGGCCAAGAGGACAGGGTCTCTCCCAGGAGGTCGTTCTGGGAAGTTCAGATCTGATGGAAGGATTTAAGAAGAATGGAGAAATAGGAGCTCTTTGTTCCCAGCTGGCATTTGTTAAGCTCTTATCCACCAGACACATCCTGGTTTGGTTTGGTTTACACTTGGTTTTACTCGCCATCCTGCTCCATAAATATTTGCTGTTCTCTTCGGCTTCTGCTAAAGTCTCACCTGTTGTGGCAATGAAACGTCACTGCTAAAAGCTCCCTGGCAGAGAGAAGACAGGGGACCATCAATCAGCTCTAGCCTGGCATCGTAGCCCTGCAGACCTTTCGATCTTCTCTCTCTCTCTCTTTCTCCCCCCACGGTCTTCGCAGTCACTGCTAATCTGGGTCAAACCTGGGACATTTTCCAAAGCAAGAAAAGTGAACCCTTGAGAAGGAAGGAGCCAGATGGAGTGACTCCTGTGTAAAGAAACGCTCCAGTATTTTTCACTCTGCCTCTTCTTCTCTTTGTCATCATGCTTGATAACCCCAGAATAAGGGTGAACTTCAAAAATGTAAGCAAGGGGTTCTCTGCCCAGTTGCTGGGTAGGCGTGGCCTAGTCGGCCTCCTGCACCATGGCAGGGAGGGGGCGTTTTTGCCCTCCCCAGGCTCTGGAGGCTTTCCTCGAGTCTCTAGGAGGGTGAAAATGGCCTCCCCAGGCTCCGGAGGCCCACTGGGGGCCGGAAACGGCCCTGTTTCTGGCCTTCCTGAACTTCTGGTAGGGCCGTTTTTCACTGTCCCTGAGCCTCTGCACTTACCTGCATCCAAAACAGGCCGCATGGGGACTCCTGAGAGGGGCGAGGTGGGGTGGGTGGGGCAGGGATTTGGGGGTTCTCCAAACTGCACAGAATCTTAGCTAGAGGTTCTCCCCAACCCCTGTGAACCCCCAGCAGCCCCACCCCTGCTCCAGAAGCCATCTTCTCTTTTGTATTTCATCCACATTTCTCTTGGGGGTTTCTCTCCCATTCAGCACCAGGCTCAATGTCTTTGGCCCAGCCTTTCTTTCCAAACGAAACCATAATTGCACCCAAGCCTTCCTGGCTTTGAACAGTCAAAGAAGGTGCTTGTAGGTTGTCTGAACGCGAAACATTACTCCAAGGTTTAGATGCGATGCCCTTTCCGTTCTCTCTTTACCCCTGCAGGGTTTCTCCATTTGCTGAGAGTGACTAATGATTCATCCATGCTGGAACTGTTTTCATTCTCTGATGCCAAGTGATGGGGAAATGTGAGAAGACCTTGTCTTACTCATCCTTTCCCTTTTAGAGCAAGAGGCTTTAGAGAAGACACTGGTTAGGAAAACTCACTGGGGACGGGGTGTCACCCTGTAGACCTAACCAGCAGGCAGGCCAAGCCATGACCTTGAGATGTGAGGGACTTGTCTAATGAACAGAAGACTAGAGGTGACACGATAGCAGCGTTCCAATATTTGAGGGGCTCCTACAAAGATGTGGGGGTCAATCTATTCTCCAAAGCACCAGAAGGCAAGACAAAAAGTGATGGATGGAAACTAATCAAGGGGAGAAGCAACCTAGAACTAAGGAGAAATTTCCTGGCAGTCAGATCAATTAATCAGTGGAACAGAAGTTGTCTTCAGAAGTTTGGATGCTCCATCACTGGAGGTTTTTAAGAAGAGATTGGAGAGACATTTTGTCTGAAATGATATAGAGTTTCCTGCCTGAGCAAGGGGTTGGACTAGAAGACCTCCAAGGTCCCTTCCAATTCTTGTTATTCTGGTTAAGGCAGGACAAGAAGCAATGGGTGCAAGTTTATCAAAGAGAGATCCAAGCTAGAACTAAGGAGGAATTTCCTGACAGTGAGAACAATTAATCAGTTGGAATGGCTTGCCTTCAGAAGTTGTGGATGCTCCATCATTGGAAGTTTTTCCAAAAAAATTGGATGGAATGGTATAGGGTCTCCTTTTTGAGAAGAGGGTTGGATTAGAAGACCTCCAATGTCCCTTCCAACTATTATTCTGGGATGAAGCCATGTAAAATGTGACAGTCTGGAGGACTTCTCCAGGACTCACCTTGGGAAGAGTTTGCAAAGACTTAAAGAGCTGCACCCAAACAGGAAGTCTACAGGGAACGGCCCCAAAAGTCTAGATGGCACTTTGAAGCTCCACCTACTTTCTATGTGTCATGTTTCAGAATTGGCCCCAGAGCATGGGTTCATGTGGGCATCCCTTCCAGTCTGGGCAAAGACCAAAATAACAGGGAGCCGGAGAATGGCCTGGATGAGTTGAGAGGCCCTCTTGAAGCCGTTAATCAGTGGCCAATTGGAAGTCCATGTTTCTCAGAGGCAATTTCAGATGTCACAGCAAATTTTGAGGACAGCTCTCATCTTAGTGATGACTCACAGTAGATGAACTTTAAGGCCTGTGCTGAGCAGTTGGGGGCCAAATGTCTTCAGATGTTATCACCTTGTGTTTATGGGATATGGACGTTCAGTTTGTATTCTACCTTGTTGCCAGTTAATCTTGCGATATGTATCTATGTTTGTCTGTCTGTCTATCATCTATCTATCAATCATTATCTATTTATCATCATTATTTGTCTGCCTGGCTGTCTCTGTCTATCTATCTATCTATCTATCTATCTATCTATCTATCTATCTATCTATCTATCTATATCATCTATCTATCTATCTATCTATCTATCTATCTATCTATCTATCATCTATCTGCCTACCTACCTACCTAACCCATCTATCATTTCTCTCATATCTATTTATCTATCTATCTATCTATCTATCTATCTATCTATCTATCTATCTAATATCTATCATTATTTATCACCATTCTCTCCCTCCTTCCCTCATCTATCCATCCATCCATCCATCTATCTATCATCTATCTCTATCATCATTATTTATTTATCACCATTCTCTCTCTCTCTCTCTCATCCACCATCTTCTATCTCTCTATCTCCCCATCTGTTATGTCTCTGTCTCATCTACCAGAGTCATCCCCCTTTTTTCACTGGGCTCCTCCAAAACTCTTGGGTGAATTCATCTCATTTACATTTAGAGCAAACTAAAACGAAATAGAGTGAAAATAGCTTTAGCCATCTCAACATGGACATTCGTGGGGGGAGTCCCTCAGGCCCCAAGCCCGAGCTTTGAGGAGCCCCACTGCCTCCCCTCATGGTTCCCACACAGCCAGCGTCCCAGGACTCTTGTCATGGCCCCGTCACTAATCTTTTTATTATGTGGCGTAGCCATCCCTCTTCAAGATGCTGAGCCTGGCCGGTCTTTGCAGCCAATTCTTGCGTCTCAGGTTCCTTCAGGCATTTGAGAGTTTTGGAGCCTGAAGTCGGCAGGTATTTATATGTTGCGGGCGCTTCATTCCGTCGGCTCTATTCTTCTCCCTCGAGATCTCCTAAAATGGTAAGATGTTTTGAGTGGGATGAAGTCCACAGGCCAGGGCGAGGGGTGTGGACATGTGTGGGAAGCCCTGGCCCCCGTATTAATAGCCTCCCTTAAGTATATGCTGGTGATCTGAGTGGGAGGTCACTCCACAGCTCTCTTCTCTCGATCCAGTCCGGCCACAGGTCGATTCACCCTTCCACCAGCATGGCTTACCACCGGCACTCAGGTAACGGGGCACCAGAATCGGTGGTGGCACGGTGGGAATAGACAATGCAGCCACAGCTGCTTAAGTCCCCTGCGGGGCACATTTGCTTCAGTGGCCAGAGACAAGAAGTTGGGGAGGGGGTTTCCTTTCCTTCCTGGCCCTCCTTGATCGAATGCCCCCCAGCCGGGGGGGGGGGGGGGGGGATTTCAGAAAGTTGCAGGAAGTTCTTAAGGCTGCCAGAAAAAAAAAAAAAACACCCCTCTGCACCGATTTCTTTTTGGGATTGAATGCAGCCGTGATTATCCTTAGCATTGTGATAGTTTTTAGCTTTTGGCAAAAAACAAACAAACAAACTAAAATACTTCTACAGCTCTTTAAAAAGAAAAAAGAAAAACGAGCCCGAATGGAGGATTTTGGAAGAAGCAGCTTCAAAGTTTTGCAGCTTTGCTCGAACGAAATTCAACCCCTGGCCCTTGGAGAGGTCCTGTCTTAACCGGGGCACCCAGCTAAGACAGAGTCAGTCAGTCAGCCGGATGGGAGGTTTCCTGCAGCCGTTTTATTCTACCTGGTTTACAACTTTAGGTCAGCTGAGGCTCAGAGAGAAAAGCCCCGATTCAGGCAGATAAAAGCCAATTCCTTAGCCATGGTTGAAGGGCGTGGAAAATCCCCGAAGTTCTCTTGTTCAGGATTTGGATTCATTTACATCCTGCTCTAAGACATCCAAGAATTAACTGCATGGCCTCAGCAGCTGGTGGGGCCATGAAAATATTAAAGTATGTTAACATCCCCAAATCTATAAAACTAAGAGCCTATTTTCTGACGGGGAAAAAAAAAATGGCCCAAGAATTCCAATTGTGGCAGAAAGACTTATAAAATACTCTTCATTTGGGAAAAGCAAAGAGAGGATTCCAAATTGCAGCAAATGTTGAAAAAGTTTTAAAAAAAAATGGTGTAGGATCTCCTGCTTTGGGGTTGGACTAGATGACAAGGTCCCTTCCAACTCTTAATTTGTAATTTTAATCTTAAAACTGTTAATTTGCAATGAATTCAACTTTTCACATGTTGGTTATTTATTTATTATTTATTTATTAGTCCAATTTATATGCCGCCCTTCTCCGTAGACTCAGGGCGGCTTACAATGCATTATAGCAATAGCCTGCATACTTATTAGGGCTTTCGCCCCCCCCCCCCAAGCGGTGTTGTTCTATACAAAGCTGGCTTATTGCCCCCACAATCTGGGTCCTCAATTTACCTACCTCGAAAGGATGGAAGGCTGAGTCAACCTTGAGCCTGGTGAGATTTGAACTCACACTAATTGCAGGCAGCTGGCAGCTAAGTGCTAGCACTTAACAGCACTTAGTCCGCTGCACCACCGAGGCTCTTACTCACAGAGTTGCTCTCTGGCTGGCCCCCTTTCTGAAAACAGGCACCTCTTTCTCTGCCAGATTGCATGGAAGGATTTCCTTCCCTCCTGCCTTGTAAGAGAAAAGGTCTTCGGGGTGTGTGTGTGTGTGTAATTAAAATGGAAAACCGGGGTGTGTACAACACAGCACAGTTGGGGTGTGATGCCTTCTGCACAATGTTTTATTTTGGATTTTCGAACGGGGTGGCAGGTAAAATACTGTACCTGAATGGCCAAGATTTGAACCACCAACCAACTAGCAGCACGGAGGCACAGCAAAAGCATTTCACAGCTGATGGGTTTTTTTTGGGTTGATCTTATTTGACCCACATATTGTATAGGTCTTCCAAATCACGTTTGATATCCCTCTGTGCGTTTTATGCTTCTGTGCCTGCCTTTTAACCACTGTGTTCCTGCCCCGTTTGCGATGGTCATAAACATCGGTTTGATTTAACTTGCTTTCTTCTTGATTTGTGCAAGCAGACTCTGGATTCTGCACCTGGCCCCAATGATTGGCATCTTTTCATTCATTGATTTGAGTATTGATCAACCCTGCTGGCTTTCCTGGATCTAACTTTTCTGCAGGGCCACCCACCTTCCCCCTTAATCACTTCCAAACCAAATGTCTCAATCATGTGGTCTAGAAACTTGTCTTAGCATGAACATTAATAGTGTATAATGTATAGTTGGATTTTTTTGTTCCCTGGGCTGTGTGTAGTGAGCATCTTTGCTTCATCCCTTCTTCTGCTCACAAGGATTAATACTTCATCTTTAGATGCTCAGAAAAGAATATATTTTGTTCTCTGAGGTTGCCATGCACTCCTTCCTTCCTTCCTTCCCCCTTTCTTCTCCCTTCCTTCCTTCCTTCTCCCTTCTCCTTTCTTCTTTCTTTCTTCTTTCTTTCTTTCTTTCTTTCCTCTTCCTTCCTTCCTTCCTTCCTTCCTTCCTTCCTTCCTTCCTTCCTTCCTTCCTTCCTTCCTTCCTTCCTCTTTCCTCTTGGAAAGTGTTGTCTCTTTTTCTCAGAGTACCTCAAGAGAGTCCAAAGACAGACTGTAAATCAAGTCAAAGTCTGCACAGCTTTGCAGTTTGTCCTCCCCAAATATCTCATGCGCACATCTTATGCTCTTTCAAACGTGTAGAGGCATGGCTAAGACGATTAAAATCTTCTTTTTTAAAAAATCCCGTGGCTTAGAAACACAGCTAAAATACCAGACAAGAAAAACTCATAATCTCAGTGGGCATCATAAAAAAAGAAAAAAATCAACCATTCCAGACAGCAGAAACAGCCTTCTTGGAAATCTCATAAGAAGCTCAATTCCCACGATAGAGATCTTTAACAGGATGGCCATTTGCCTGCTTGGTGGCCTATTTTCATTTGGCTTAGAGCAGGGGTCTGCAACCTTAAACACTCAAAGAGCCATTTGGACCCGTTTCCCACAGAAAAGAAAACACCGGGAGCCACAAAACCCTTCCCGTGCCTGACTATTTCTTGAGCTAGCATATGTTGTTGAATTAAATGTTCTGTTTTCTTCTGACACTTTTCTTTTCTTGGGACTTATCCACCGTTAGCCTACTGGGGGGTTGAAAAGCTCAATAAATTGTGTGCTGGTGGGTGTCACACATTGGTGGTTGTGATGCATATTTTGAGTGACAGGGAGCCGCAGCAGAGGGGTGAAAGAGCCACATGCAGCTCCAGAGCCGCAGATTGCTGACCCCTGCCTTAGAAGATGTTCCACCAGGCTGAACCCACACAGCAAACCTACCCCGTTGCGGCCAACTCAATAAACCGATGTTCACAAAACCACCGCTTAATTTGTGCAACGTGTGAACTCGGCTCCAGGTGCTTTCCAGGATTTAAAACAGACACACATACACGCAGAGTCCTCCTTCTTCATGTTGGAGGACCACGAAGTCCATCTTTCTGGGTGGTGTCTTCACCCCCAGCCCCGATGCCTGGAAGGAATTCTTTTGCGGAGGGTCCTGCAAAAATCTCTGGGACACACCCCTCCTGCGGTGCGGCGCTCCCCTTATCAGCCCTTCCCTTCCCGGTCCGTGGCGAGGCGAGTGTGCCTGCACACCGGTTGCTATGATACGACACCCTTTATATAGCAAGGCCAAATTCCAAGTAATCCAGCGAAAGGGCACATGAGTCAGGGAAACAATGGGGTAATTGCTCTATTTTTAGACTTGCAGGAGGGAAAGAATGAGTTGGCCATTAACACCCTTGGCTGCGTTTGCTTAGCTCCGTTTTCATCGCCTTCCCTCCCTGGTCTTGCTGTGCATGGCTGGCTTGTTCCGGAGCGATCCGGGGGCCACCCCATGAATGGTCGAAGGAACGGTGGTTGTTGAACTGTGAGCCCCGTCTGGAATTCTAGATCTAATCCAGGGGTCTGCAACCTTAAACACTCAAAAGAGCCATTTGGACCCGTTTCCCACAGAAAAGAAAACACCGGGAGCCACAAAAATTTGGTGGGCGTGGCCAACTCGACATCACTCTCTTTCACAAGTCACATGACACACTCCCTAGCCACGCCTACCCAGTTGGTCATTAGGGCAGAGAACCGGTTGTTAAAAAACACCAGGAACCACAAAACCCTTTTGACATCTCTCTCTCTCCCCACATCTATATATCTCTCTGCCTCTGCCCTGGCCACTTCTCCATCCCCTGCTGTCGCCCTTACCTTCTCAGGCCAGGTGAGGAGTGACTGGGAGGGGAGGGCGAGGGGTGGGGTCATCCAACAGGGAGCCACAGCAGAGGGCCCAAAGAGCCACATGCGGCTCCGGAGCCGCAGGTTGCAGACACCTGATCTAGTCTTAACAGATTATAACAGATTAACAGAGTTGGAAGGGACCTTACAGGTCATCCAGTCCAACCCCCTGCACCCTACAAGACCCTACACCATTTCTGAGAGATGGCCGTCCAACCTTTTCTTGAAAGTCTCAAGTGATGAAGCTCCCACAATTTCTGAAGGCAGCTTCTGTTCCATGGGTTGATGGTTCTCACTGTCAGAAAGTTCCTCCTCATTTCTAGGTTGAATCTCTCCTTGGTCAGTTTCCATCCATTATTCCTTCTCTGGCCTTCGGGTGCTTTGGAAAATAGTTTGACCCACTTCCTCCTCTCTGTGGCAGCCCCTCAAATATTGGAAGACTGCTATCCTGTCTCCCCTGGTCCTTCTCTTCTCTAGACTAGCCATGGCTGGTTCCTGCAACCATTCATCGTATGTTTTAGCCTCCAGTCCCCTAATCATCCTGGTTGCTCTTCTCTGCACTCTTTCTAGAGTCTCAGCCTCTTTTTTAAAGTGTGGTGACCAAAACTGGATGCAGTACTCTAGGTGTGGCCTTACTAAGGCTTTAAGAAAAGGCATAAATCAGTCCCAATGATCGGCTGGAGGCAGAGCACTTGGGAGAGAAGGAACCCCGATGGTCCATGCAGTTTCCAGGGTTCCTTATTTGACCGAAGAGGTGATGGTGATGATGGATGGCCACCTGAATTGATAGGAAGAGGCAGATCATGGTTAACGTGGTTGGAAGCTTGGGCCAGATGAAGAGAAGGGAGGACGACTTGGTCCTCCTAGAACCTGACCTCCAGCCAGATGCTGAGGTCATCAATTATTTCTTGGGATCAGAAGCTGTCCGCACCTTGGTAAGCTTGACTGAGAAGCACATCTACAGGACGTTTGCAGCTATGCTCTTAAGTTTAGAGATCCCCAACTTTTCAGAGCCTGTTGAGTTTGAGGGAACCATTCAATGAACTTCCTCAACCCTGAGGCTGCGACTTCCCATGTTTTTCCAGCCAGCCACATTCTTCTTTCCCCCTTTTACTCTTTCAATGTGCTTATCGTTTTCACGGAAGACCGCGGGAAATAGCTCAGCCCAACTCTGTGCTTGCAAATAACACAAGATGTAACTCTGTTAATCTGTTAATGCCCAAGGACTTTTCTTCTTCTTCTTTTTTAATCTGTCAGTCTTTTTATTCTGCTACTTCCCCTTTCTTAAACTTTATCTATGATAGCAGCAGCTTTATCAAGTTTCCGGTCCTTATGAACCAGAGAGGAAGGATGTGGTTAACAGCAGTTGGGTCCTGCCCCCATTTTTCCTGGATGTGGGTGTGTTGAGGGAGAGCCAGCTTTGCTCTGCTCTAGTACTCAGAAACAGTTGGATGGAGGTAACCTCCTCGCTTTGTTGACTTGTGTGGATGTGGCTTTGTTGAGCATTAGGAGAAGACAAGGAGCTGGGAGTTTCTTTTAGCGCCCTCTGGTGATGCAAAAAAATATTTGTCTCATTTTCTCCACTTAACGCTAAAAATGTAGTAGTAGTAGTAGTAGTAGTAGTAGTAGTAGTATAAATTGTATACTATAAAGTAGTACAAAGTACTATAAAGTAGTATAAAGTATTAAGTAGTATAAACAGTGGTTTCAAATTTTTTTACTACCGGTTCTGTGGGTGTGGCTTGGTGGGTGTGGCAGGGGAAGGATACTGTAAAATCTCCATTCCCTCCTCACTCCAGGGAAAGGTTACAGCAAAATCCCCATTTTCTCCCAATCAGCTGGGACTCTGGAGGCAGAGAATAGATGGGGGCAGGGCCAGCCAGAGGTGGTATTTACCGGTTCTCCAAACTACTCAAAAATTTCCGCCATCGGTTCTTCAGAACTGGTCAGAACCTGCTGAAACCCACCTCTGAGTATAAAAAAGTAGTAGTACCATGTTTTCCCCAAAATAAGACATTATCCCCTGATAATAAGCCCAATCGGGCTTTTGAGCGCATGGCAATCAGGCCAAGCGCTTATTTCAGGGTTCAAAAAAATATAAGACAGGGTCTTATTTTCGGGGAAATACGGTAGTAGTACAGTAGTATAAAGTGGGGATTCTGGACCACTTCCTCTTCCCAGTCACAGCCGGGCAGTTCACTAGATAGGACCTGCTCGCCCTCCAGGTTGATCCTCAACCCAGGTGCTGATGAAGTTTCCTTGAGCAACAAAAAATAAATAAAAATTAAATAAAATCCTGTCACACGATGTTAATCTTGTCATGCTGAGCTAATCCTGTCACCCCCAGAGAAACTTGTCACGAGGAGAGTATGACCACACCAGGAAGTTCTGTGGTGTCTGCTGTTGGCAATTGCGAATGCCGTCGGCATGACAAGCAACATGGGATACATGACGAGGAAAATACAAGGCTGGTCTTGTGCAAAGAACCCAACCAGCTGCAGTTTCGTTAGTATTTAGACATACCCGAATCAAAGGATATACCATTTGTGCTATATATATAGAGATACAGTGAAGGTTTCAACCAGGGATGGGTTCTACTTACCTTTACTACAGGTTTGCAAAGGGGTCACGCTTGCTTCTGTGCATGCGCAGATTGCCGATGATGACATCCGGGTGGTGGGCAGAGCCTCCCGCCGGTTTTACTACCGGTTCTTGCGAACCGGTCTGAACCGGGGGCAACCCACCACTGGTTTCAACCCATGTGACTGTGGAGTGGGGTGGAGTCAGGGGCTGAGAACGGAAATGGCCAACAAGCTGGAGTGCCGGACTTATGAAGGACCTTCTCATAATGTCGTCTCTGCTGCAGCATGGAAAAGGGGGGCAGATAGGCCACAAAGAGTCTACGGGAAGGTGGCATCTCCCAGGACTCTTTGGAGGTCCAACCTCACCATCAGCGTTTCATTGCCAAGTTCAGTTGGGCCCATTTTTTTCCAACTGGCACCAGCCCCCTTTGTGACAACAGGGCCAACCTGTCAACTTGCAAAGCTTTCAAGTTGCCATGAGCAGGAGGGAGGGAGAACTGAAGTGAATTCCATACATTTTTCTGACCGCAATCAGAAGGAGGGTGTTAGGTTTCACAGCCAGCCAAAGTGGTTAATTGGAGAATGTGATTTATGACATGGCCAGAGAGGAGGGGAGAGACAGGGTCATAGGGGAACGTAAATCTACGTGGGATCAGTCCTAACTGCATCCCAGTATTGCCGGAATGTTGCTCCTAATAAATGACTATATTTCCTTTGAAGTTTGGATCATGGCTCATGAATTAATTAGGGCATCTTTCGGAAACTTGACACAACCGTTGTCTTGGCTTCATGGCTTGGCTTTGAATAATGCCCCCATTGGGGTGCCCAAGGCTTCCCACGGCCCTCAACTCTGCCATGTTGATTCTGCCTCACTGCAGGTCCCAGCAGCTACACCGTGGGCACCATGTCCGAGCGTTTTGACTGCCACTATTGTCGCGCCGCACTGCACGGGAAGAAATATGTGCAGAAGGAAGGACGCCATTGCTGTGTCAAGTGCTTTGAGAAGTTCTGCGCCAACACCTGTGCCGAGTGCCGGAAGCCCATTGGGGCCGATTCCAAGGTAGGGAATAAAGTTGGAAGGTCCCCCAAGTGTAAAGGGCAACCCCTCAAATCTCACTACAGACTGGGTGAGGGTCCTTTGGACAATGGTGTGTTTTTTCTTGACCAAGAGAGCAGTCCGAGTGAGAGATTTTTGACTGTTGAGTTGGCTGATGGACCTTGTGTGTTACTGAATGGACTTTTTTTTTTTTTTTGATATTATAATAAACCACATTGGAACCGATTCTTACAATTGTACGGTTTGTTTAATTCTCTTTTTTGACCCTGGGACAAAGACCCCTTTCAGAAACGTCCTCTCTTGGTCTTGCAGGAGCTGCACTTCAAGAACCGCTACTGGCATGACAACTGTTTCCGCTGCTTCAAGTGTTACACATCCCTGGTGAACGAGCCCTTCATGCTGAAGGAGAACAACAAGGTGTGGTGTAACAAATGCACCACCAACGAGGATGCTCCTAAATGCAAAGGCTGCCTGAAGCCCATTGTGGCAGGTGAGGGCACCAGGAGGGGCCAGTTTCCTCCACGGGGGGTGGGGGGCGGCTTGCCTTCCTTGATCCCCGAGCAATCTCTACGTTGGGGGAGAGGTGGGTTGGTTCATCCATCATGTGAAGGTCTAATAAGACTTCTTGGTCCACTGTGACTTAGGAAGGGTAAGCTCTCTTGGAGTTAAGGTTGATTTCCTGGGCACCCCCAATTGAGAAAACTTTTTTTGTCATTTGCATCAATTATTTTTTGGTCCCCCCCAAATAACCTATAGACCTGGGAATTGCTGGAGGGTCTCATTCAAGGATTAAATTTATTAACAGGCGTCATCCACATGTGCCCCAAAAGTAAATAGGACCAAACAACACCCCCTTTGCATGTTGGGTTTTAGGAGTGTGGCTGGGACAAAATGGGCCTTAAACTAGATGCACAGGGCACCCCTTAAAACACCCCGTCCACAAATGGGACCTGTCTCCACCCAGATTTGGAGAATAGCCATGACGTTGGACTGTCCTTCAGCTGGTGTAGATTGCCTTTCCCTGCTTTAGTGCAACATGAGAACCCGAATCCCTGAAAAGTTAAAAAAGCCAACTTGGGCATCCTGAAAAGTTAGATGGGAAGAGCTCCATGGAGGCCCTGTCACTGCTCATTCTAGGCAGGGATGAGATCTTCTGATGCTATCCATGCCTTCTTCTGGCGTTCCTTCTCGATAGGCCCTTGGGCTTTCTAAGTGCAAAGGATTTTTGGATGTGTGAGAAAAGCTCCAATTTCTGGAGTGGGAGAGTCCCCTGTGATTAAAAAGCACGGGCCTGCTTCTCCAGGGACGTCACCAATGATCTGATGGACACCTAGTGGCAATTCCAGGTTTTGTTTTTTCACAGCTCTGGAGATCTTGCATCTTGGACCTTCCCTTCTCTCTTCCCAGGTGATCAGAACGTGGAATACAAGAAGACCGTCTGGCACAAGGAATGCTTCCTTTGCAGCCAGTGCAAGCAAGTGATTGGCACTGCCAGCTTCTTTCCCAAAGGAGACGAGATCTATTGCGTTTCCTGCCACGAACATAAGTTTGCCAAGAATTGCGTGAAGTGCAAGAATGTAAGTCTTGGGCATTGTCGCTGCATTTTTTCTTGTTTCCAATTATTACCTCTCTCTCCCTTTCTGATCCAGTGGTGGGATTCAGCTGGTTCGGGAAAACCGGTGGTTAAATTGCTGGCTGGTCCCGCTCCTCTTGTCCCCTCCCCAGAGTCCCCACACGGCCCCTTTTGGCTCCCACGTAACTGCAGGGAGGCCGCGCGAGCTGTCGTGGGTGCACCTAGGTACACCCACATTACACCAATTCTCCGCGAGCTGCACTGGGCTCCCTATTGGTCTCTGGGCACAATTCAAGGTATTGGTTATTACCTTTAAAGCCCTACATGGCTCAGGGCCAGGTTATCTTCGAGACCGCCTTTTACCGCATAGCTCCCAGCAACCGGTAAGATCCCACAGAGTTGGTCTCCTCCGGGTCCCATCAGCTAAACAATGCCGGCTGGCGGGCCCGCGGGGGAGGGCCTTCTCTGTGGCTGCCCCGGCTCTCTGAAACCAGTTACCTCCTGAGGTCCGGACCATCCCCACCCTATTGGCCTTCCGAAAAGCGGTGAAGACCTGGCTCTTCCGGCAGGCCTGGGGCTGTTGATCTCGCTTTGCGATCTGACGAGATCTGGGCAATGAATGGTGTGAATGGGTTTTAATGTCTTTAATGTTTTTAACTTTTAAGTGTTTTTATAGTGATTTTTTGAGTGTATTGTGAGCCACCCTGGGTCTTCAGAGGGGGGTGGCATATAAATTGAATGAATGAATGAATGAATGAATGAATGAATGAATGAATGAATGAATAAAAAATAAATAAATAAATATGAGAATATGAACTCCAAACATGGCAACTTGCGGACTTCAACTTCCAGCATGGCTGGGGAATTCTGGGATTTGAAGTCCACAAGTCTTAAAAGTTGCGTAGGGTGAGAAATACTGGACTAGGTGATCCTTCTGGTCCCTTCCGACTCTATCATTCATGTCTGGCTGGGGAATTCTGGGACTTGAAGTCCACAAGTCTTAAAGTTGGCTTGGTTGAGGAATACTGGACTAGATCCTTCTGGTCCCTTCCAACTCTATCATCCATGTCTAGCTGGGGAATTCTGGGCTCAATGCTAACATTTATTCCACTCCGCGAACTCCACACTAATTGTTGGCTGGCTGGTTGCTTTTTAAGGCCATCACTTCCGGAGGCGTCTCCTACCAAGATCAGCCTTACCACGCTGAGTGCTTTGTGTGCGCCACTTGCACCAAGAAGCTGGGTGGACAACGCTTCACCGCGGTGGAAGACCTGTTCTACTGCGTGGACTGCTACAAATCTTTCGTGGCTAAGAAATGCAATGGTTGCAGGAACCCCATTACAGGTAGGCCACGGAGGACCTACTGAAGGGTTCCAGGTTCCTCCTTGTTTTCCCTCCTCTGGAGAAGCAGCACTTCCAGTGGTGAAATTCAAAAAAAATCCCTACTGGTTTTGTGGGTGTGGCTTGGTGGGCATGGCTTGGTGGTGGTGGGGGAGTCATGTGACTGGGTGGGCGTGGCCAACTTTTTTTTTTTTACTTTTTAAAGCATTTTTTAAGTAAAAAAAGTTTTAAAAAAAGTTCCGATGATCAGCTGTGACAATCAGCTGTGCCTGCGATCGTCAGAACCTTTTTTTTTTTTTACTTTTTTAAAGTATTTTTTTTACTACCGGTTCGGGCGACTAGGTAGTAAAAAATGCTTTTAAAAAGTTAAACAAAAAGGTTCCAACAATCAGCTATGACAATCAGCTGTGCCACGTGATCGTCAGAACCTTTTTTTTTTTTTTTTTACTTTTTTATAGCATTTTTAAACTACCGGTTCTGGCGAACCGGCCCAAACCAATAGCATTTCACCCCGAGCACTTCCCTAACAGTGCAATGCTCTCTTGTCCTCTCCTTCTCTCCAGGCTTTGGAAAAGGCACCAACGTGGTGAGCCATGAAGGCCACTCCTGGCACGAGTACTGCTTCAACTGCAAGAAGTGCTCCATCCCCTTGGCCAACAAGCCTTTTGTCTTCCACCTGGAGCAAGTCTACTGCCCCAACTGTGCCAAGAAGCTGTAAGGGAGGAAGGCCAAGCGAAGAGCAGAAGCAGGAACCGCTCAGCTCTTTCCTGCACAGCAGCTTGGAGATCCCCTTCAGCTTGCAAGTGGCCTGGCTGTAGGCATTTGCATTGTAGCTTCCCTCCTCCTCCCCAAGCCCACCCCTCTTTTTTTGCTTTTTGAAAGGATGTTAAGGCTCTTCTCCTCCCCCCTTCCTCTTTCCCCTCCCAATTCCCTCCGCGGGTCATGTCCAATAAAGGGTTGACTAGCTGCATCCTTGAGCTCTGCTCTCTTGCCCTCTGTGTAGAGGGGCGGGCTACATCTTACACATCCCACGTAGAGTCGCTCCTGGCTTTGTGCATCTGCCGTTTAGGGGGGCTAGCAGCTCAGCAAGGGTGAATTCACATGGCTGCTTTTTTCAAAGCAATTCCCCATCTCCTTCTTCCTGGGGTACACCCCGTTTGCAAAGCCACAGAAAACAAGGAGAGGCTTGCAAGGATCTGGTGGCTGGAGAAAACCAAAAGTTCGGGGGGGGGGGGGACTGGATATGAGGTGCCCATTTTTTCTCTTGATGTGCCCAGCCCTTAGCTTGTTACAGCCCCCTTTGTGGGCACCTCTCTTCTCTTGGACGTCCATTGAAAACATTCCTGGCCCACAGAGGAGACAACGCTGCTCCTGTGGGACAGCCTTCTCACTGGCTAATTTAACTTTGGGTTCCTACGGCTGTGATATTGTGGTCCAAGGACCCTTTTAATAGATGGTGCTCGTCCCAAATTATTTTTGTAAACACAATCACTATTTTTTTTTTTTAACACAAAATGTTTGTTGAGAGCTTCAAGGATTTCCATGTCTTTTACCCAAATATCCATCCTACGCCTCAATATTGAATTTGTCCGTGCTGAGTTACTCGAAGCAGCAAACTGGACTCTCTTCTCGTAGGTAGTTTTCAGAGAAAGTAACCTTTCTTGAAAGGTATACAGGTAGTCCTTGATTTACAACCATTCGTTTATAGGGACCGTTTTGATGTTTCCCAGCTGGCTTCTGACAAGCAAAGCCAAGATTCGCTCAACAACCCCGTAGCTCCCTTAATGACCGTGGTGGTTTGCTTAAACGCCAAAAAAAGATTGTAAAACCGGGCATTTAATAACTGCCTTGTTCAGCAAGGAAAAGTCTGATCCCCTACTCTGGTTGTAAACCAAGGACTACCTGTAGATCGAAGTGGCCATCTGACTCCACCCTACAATCTGCTAGTTCAGACAAAGGTTCGGTGCTTTTCTTCGGTTTGCATCCACGTTAATCCACATGAGACATTGCAAAAAAAAAAAAACCCTTTTCCTTGCCTCTGACGCAGAGAATGAGCGCATCATAGGTAGCTTATTTTAACCAGCATTTTAACTCCCAGGAACAGCCACTGCTGACTTTAGAATAACCTTATTTAGCCATCGATTTTAATACTTTTAACTGCTGGAAAGCGAAAAGCAAGTCGCTTTGATTCATCCTCAAAACGGGCCTTTTGTCGACTTGGGCATTGTTCTCAGCCCGAGATGTGGCACAGGAGCTCCCCGGGCAGGTTCAAAGATAAGGGTGATGAAACTGCAATTCTTGTTCTTGTACCAAGGCCTTTCCTTCAATAAACAGGAAGTTACTGCTTATTTCGACTCGGCGTGGTGTTTTCTAGTTATGAGCAGGAGATTCATACGGTGTCAACTCACTTGAAACTGGTTGATGCACAAACATTTGCTCTTCCGTCATCCAGAACGAGGCTGATCACACAAAACCCTCACCGGGATGTTCCCCCTCGTCTCTTCTCCTTTTTTTCTTCTCTCTATAATCCTGAAGTTTGGGATGTGGTGGCTCAGTGGCTAAGACGCTGAGCTTGTCGATCGAAAGGTCGGCAGTTCAGCAGTTCGAATCCCTAGTGCTGCGTAATGGGGTGAGATCCTATTACTTGCCCCAACTTCTGCCATCCTAGCAGTTCGAAAGCACGAAAACAAGGCAAGTAGAAAAATAGGGACCCCCTTTGGTGGGAAGGGAACAGCGTTCCGTGCGCCTTTGGTGTTGAGTCATGCCGGCCACGTGAACATGGAGACGTCTTCGGACAGTGCTGACTCTTCGGCTTTGAAACAGAGATGAGCACCGCCCCCTAGAGTCAGGAACGACTAGCACAAATGTGCGAGGGGAACCTTTACCTTTATAATCCTGAAAAGCAAATGGGTCTTGCCCAGAAGTGGTATTCAGCCGGTTTAGACTGGTTTGTGTGAACCGGTAACTCCATCAGTTTGCCCCGCCCACCTGCCCTATCCTGTCCTTTATTTCCTGCTTTGTAGCTCATCTCAATCGTGCGGCACAGCAGATTCCACCCCCCCTCGCTGTTCTACTTACCTTTGCCGACTTGTAAGGTAAGCAGCTGAGCTTAAATGCTCTATTTTTAGCGCTGTGCACCAGCGCCTTAGGTGAGCGCATGCTCACCAAATTGGTTATTAAACTGGCAGCATCCCGCCATTGGTCTTGCCACCAATTCAGCCACCTACCGGTAGTCCTCGACTTACAACCAAAACTTCCAGCGCTAAACGAGGAGGTTGTTACGCGAGTCATGCCCGATTTCACCATCTTTTATTTTGTAGCTAAAGCAAATGGCTGCACTTGTCCGGTAACTTGTGAGGTTTGTTAAGCAAATCCAGCTTTCCCCACGGACTCGTCCCCCCCCCCCCCCGGGAAGGCTGCAAATGGCGATCCCGACGGCAGGATGTGGCAACCGTTGTAAATCCGTGCAATTTGCCGAGCGCCTGAATTCTGATCCACGGGGATGCTGGGGGTGGTTATTAACACGCAGGGAGCAGCCATAAGTCACTTTTCGCAATGCTGGGGTAACTTCAATCGCTAAACGAATGGATGCAAGTTCAGGATTGTCAATTGTCACCTACAAACTCCCCTCCCATCTGCTATCTCCAGCAAAGTCCTTCAATTCACGACGGAAGCCAACACATCTATCCACACAAGCTTGGTGTCCACCTTGATTTTATTTACTGCTCTCAGAAAACAGTGGTCATAGCTGCCCCAAAGGTGCTTCTCCCCACCTTTCTTTTTCAAGAGGCAACTGGACTTCCTTGCTTTTTCTTTAGAAGACGTTTCGCTTCTCCTCCAAGAAGCTTCTTCAGCTCTGACTGGATGGTGGGGAATGGAAGGATTGATATTCCTTGCAGACGGCTGGTCATTTGCATCCTTTTTAGAAAGTCGTTGAGGCCACTGGGAGGTTTGTCGGTATCCACAGGGATCACCTGAGTGGTGCAAATGGGTGTGGAGCCTTCTTGGAACTGTTGAAAGGACTGTGTTGTAGACAGGAGGTAGATGATGTTGTATCCCTTCCCCTCTGTTGAGAGCGGGCTGTTCAATTTGGACCTAGATGGTGTCTTTGACCCCTCTTTCAAATATTTTCAATGCAGTTGTCTCTTGGAAAACAACATGGGACAACCATGATCTGGATGACGGAGAATCTCCATCGACATTCAGTGATAATAGTTCCATTTAAATATATATATATATTTATTTATTTTAAAAAGCCAAATTCATTTTTGGGTGTTTCCTCCCGAAATAACCAAGAACCACTCGCCTCTGGAAAGCCCTTCCAATTGCAAAGTTTATTAACAGTGCATACGTATTTACATACAACTAACAAAGCATTCAACGGGCCTCAGTTTGCGCAGAAAAAAATAGGAGCGTCATCATTGCATGCATGTTAGAACGATTGTCTCTGTCGGGATCCAAGAGATGTCGTATAAAAATAATATGTGTTAGTTCCACCTAAGGCACTGCTCTATGGGGGAATCATTCTAAAACCTTGGCGAGGGGAGGGGGGGAAGACTGCGGGGACGAGAGGAGAGGCTTGGGTGATTTAATGGGGAGGGAGGGAGGGAGGGGTGTGTGCATTCCCAGAAATGGTTCCAAGGGGAACATCTGGGCTTGAAAAGGGGTTGAGGAGCAGGCTTGCAAGCGAAGGAACAGGTTTTTTTTGAGGGGGGGGGATCTCACAGTCGTTTCGAGAGAACAGCTCTTTGAAGAGATTGGGCACTTGGGGGGAGGTGGGTCGGTGGGGGAGAGAAGCAGGACGCGGGCCTAAGACCGTTCTCCTTTCTACGCGTTTGCAGAAAGCTTCATTCCTTCTTTTGCTAGGCAAAACAAAAAAAAAAATCGAGCCGCTGGGCTGAACACATAAGCTCTCAGCTGGAGGCAAGCGGTGAGTTAAAGCTAGAAGAGGAAAAACCTGGAGTGCAATTCACACGGCCCAGAGAGGAACGAGCACCTTCGAAGGGTTTAATACTGGTACTGTGTTCACACACAAATGTAATACTTAACAGGTCTGGGGAGGCTCAACGTACAGTAGAACTGCAGGGATGGGTTTAGCGGTTCGGGACACCGACCCGCCCAACGGGACCAGAGGGGGCTGCCAAGAGCTCCTGGCTGGGGCTGCTACGAATTTCCACGAGGCTTGTTCTCCCCCCGCCACCTCCACGCCTGCAAATAAATGAGCAGGAGGGACGCTCGGTTCGGCTAACCAGACAGGGATGCTGCGGTGTGCGATAGCTTGAAAAAGCCACTCGACTGAAGGCCACCTGCTAGGACGCACTCAATGAATAAACATAGATAAATAAGGTAAGATGTTCTGCCCCGCTCCCCCAAAAAGCATGTGGTCTGGGGGGGTTTTCTGCAGCTGGAGGCCTTGGCTAGACTTGCTCTCCTTCCTTACACCCTGCACAAAGACATACCCTGGGTCTTAGGGCTGCTCTTCACACCCACCTCCTGCTGGTGAGCCAGTCTTCGCTGGGAGTGGTCTCCATCAAGCCTCCCCATGCAACACTGAGGAGAGGGGGGGAGGGGGGGCTGGCCCCAGAGAGAGCTGCGTAAGGCAACAGAATGGAGCGCTGTCCGACTTCGGGGGGCCCTGTTGAGTTCTGAAAAATCCCCCGTCCGTCCTAGAACAAGCGCTTTGTTTTCAAGTGTTGGTCGAGACAATCAAGAGGTTGGTATTCGTTTTGTTTTGTTTTGAAGCTGAGAAATGATCTGACCCAAAACGGACTCGTTCTAGAGTGAGGTGCTACGTTTTCAGATATTCAAGTTAAATTCGAAGTAACCGTCGCTCCCCCGAAACAACACGCGCGAGGGAGAGAGCGACAAGCGCATGACATTGGCTCCGTTTTTTGTGTGTGTGTTTAAATATACATTGGATTTAAACCGTGTGTTACCTTGCAGACGGGGGTATCCTGGGCGAATGCTAGCTTGTTAAGTCCCTGGTACAAACCGCCGTGTTTTACTGGCGAAAACGGGGAGCAATGTTAAGGACCAACAGCAACGGACGGAACAATTCATCCAAAGGAGAACAATGGGTTATTTCGTTTTTAAAAAGCAAAAATCTCGTTAAAGAGTGTGGATAAAGCAACAGCGACATAACTCCCCGCCCTTCCTGCTTTGCGACGTTCCGAGGGGCAACGCCGGGGCGGCCAAGGGCGGGGGGGGCTGTTGCGGGTGACGCGGAGAGAAACGTGGAGGTGAAGTCAACAAGCAGCTTTTTTTTTTTTTCCCCAAACCGAGGCCTTCCTGCCTGGAGGATCCCTGTGCATCCTTGCGTGACCGTCAGGAGCCTTCCGGGCTTGTAGTGTTCACAGTTCTGTTCAAAAGTGAGAGTCGGCTTTTAGTACAGGTAACCCTGGACATACGACCAGAATCGAGTCCAAAATTAATGCTGCTAAGCGAGACATTTGTAAAGTTGAGTTTTGCCTCATTTTTACGACTTTTCTCGCCCTGTTTGTTAAGTGAATTTGGCTTCCCCCTTGACTTGGCTGGACAAGGTGGTCGCAAAAGGGAATCACGTGACCCGGGGGACACTGCCACCGTCATGAACCAGTGAACCAGTGGCCAAGCCTTCGAATGTAAATCACATGGCCACGGGGACGCTGCAATGGACGTAAGTGTGAACCAGTGGTCAAGCATCCGAATGTAAATCACGTGACTGGGAACACTGCCACCGTCATAACTGTGAACCAGTGGCCAAGCATCTGAACGTAAATCACGTGGCCACGGGGACGCTGCAACGGACATAAGTGTGAAAAATGTTCTTACTTTTTTCAGTGCCATTTGTCATCTTTCAACAGTCGCTAAAGGGACTGTTGTTAAGTCAAGGACTATCTGTACCTCTAGCGCACAAAATAGGCCAGGTCAGGAGAAACATCTTTACGGCAGCGATCAATGCCCCTTACCTGATGCCGCCTCGATGGATTTGGTCAAGGGATTCATGCCACCATCTTCCTCAAACGCCAGCTTTGGGCTTGCTGGTAACGGAGCTCCGTCTCTGAACTTCTGGCCGGGCACATCAGCCGCCATGCTCTCCGAACTGAGCCTGCCTGTCTTAGGATGCACCCCGAGATCAATGATTTCTTCGAAGTTCCACGCGGAAGGTTTTCCATTAAAGTTAGGGATAAATCCCACGGGGCGATCGGCTTCATTCACGTGCAGGATTTCCGAGTTCTCGATGACCGGTCCTTTAGCTGGAATACTGGGAAGAGAAGACGGAAGAACAGTCCGATTGTCCGGTTTCTGGAAAGATTCCTCCTGGCTTAATTTAGGGTTTGCGTTTCCCCCTAAAATAACAAGACTTTCC